CTCCACCCAACCTCCCGTCCCTCCCTTCCTCCGTCCTCCCTCCGCATCCTTCACCAGCGTCCGTCCACGCTCTTCCTCCTCTGTCTCCATCCAATGTTCATCCGTCCGTTCCATCATCCCTCCATCCATGGTCCACCATCCATCCATCATCCATGATCCATCCATGATCCGTCCATCCTCCATGATCCATCCACCATCCACCATTCATCCATGATCCGTCCATCCATCCATCATCCATCATCCATCCATCATCCACCATCCATCCATGATCCACCATCCATCCATCATCCATGATCCATCCATCCATCCATGATCCATCCATCATCCATCCATCATCCACCATCCATCCCTCCATCCATGATCCATCCACCATCCATCCATCCCTGATCCACCATCCATCCGTCATCCATCCCTCCACCCCCCGTCCCCCCCTTTCTCCTCACGCCGTCTCGTTGTTGCGGAACTCGAGCTCATCCATCATCCATCCATGATCCATTGATCCATCCATGACCCATCCATGATCCATCCATGACCCATGCATGATCCAATCACGATTCATCCCCCCCCTTTCTCCTCACGCCATCTCGTCGTTGCGGAACTCGAGCTCATCCATCATCCATCCATGATCCATCCCTGACCCATCCATGATCCATCCACAATCCATCCAACCATGACCCATCCCTGACCCATCCATCCATCCATGACCCATCCATGATCCATCCATCCCTGCCCCATCCCTGATCCACCCCCCCTCTCCGCTCACGCCGTCTCGTCGTTGCGGAACTTGAGCTCATCCATCATCCATCCATGACCCATCCATGATCCATCCATGATCCATTGATCCATCCCTGACCCATCCCTGACCCATCCCTGACCCATCCATGATCCATCCATCCATCCCTGACCCATCCCTGACCCATCCCCGACCCATCCCTGATCCACCCCCCCTCTCCGCTCACGCCGTCTCGTCGTTGCGGAACTCGAGCTCCCCGCTGGCGTCCTCGTAGTCGACGCCGCCCCCGCGGGCGGTGCCCTCGACGGTTCGGAAGGGCACCATGACGGTGCCGCGGGCGCCGGAGCTGCGCACCACCGTCACCTCCACCTTGCCCTGGCACTCGCTGACGCGCACCGAGCGCTCGCGGAACCCGAAGATGCCGGCGTGGTCGTCGTCCAGGATGGTGACGGTGGCCACCAGCGGCGCCACCAGCTTGCCTTTGGGGTGCTCCTCGTTGTCGGCCTCGAACATGCCCTCGGCGTCGCCCACGCGCAGGTTGAGCAGGCGCACGAAGAAGTGCTCGTCCTCCTCGAAGATGTCGTCGTCGATGATGCCGATGGCCAGCTCCTTGCGCGTCTCGCCCGGCTTGAAGATGAGGGTGCCCTCGCTGTACTCGTAGTCCGAGCCCGCCTTGGCCGAGCCGTCCTCGGTGCGGAAGTCCACGTAGAAGGTCTGGTTGGCGCCCACGCCCTGCTCGCAGGCCACGGCCAGCGTCACCGAGCCGCAGTTCTCCAGGCAGTGGTAGAGGCAGGGCTCGAAGAAGATGCGGCTGCAGGCCTCGTCCTCCTCCTCCTCCTCGTCCTCCTCGCCCGGCGCCGCCGGCGAGCGCCGCGCCGCCTCCGCCGCGTGCTTCTTCAGCACGTTGCCGGCGCCGGTCATGAGGCGCGTGGCCTGGATGCGGTAGAAGGCGCGGCTCTTCTGCTGGTGCACCAGCGCCACGTAGTTGGCGGCGTCCACCAGCTGCTCCAGCTCCTTCTCCGGGTGCTTCTGCTTGAGGTCCTTGAGGATCTGGATGACCTCGCGCCGGCTCTCGTCCAGCTCCCGCTCCTCGGGCGTGGGCGACGGCGACGCCGCCGAGCCCTCGGGCTCGGGGGGCGGCGCCGGGGCGGGGAAGCCGCCGTCGGCCTCCACGTCCTTGGGCGGGCGCTCGGCCTCGGCGCCGATGATGATGCCGCTGCGCGGGTCGGCGCGGTAGCGCTTGTAGACGTACTTGTAGAAGAGCAGGCGCTTGTCGGCCGCCCAGGCGAAGACCACGCAGGCCGGGAAGAAGAGCAGGGTGAGGAAGGCCTCCCACACCTGCACCACGCCCGGCGTGATGACGGCCAGGATGAGGTAGAGCCAGATGTAGGCGAAGATGCTCCAGGAGGCCGTGACGAAGAAGACGCGCAGGTGCTTGATGCGGCGGCTCTCGCCCGCCGGGATGGCGTAGACGCAGACGGCGATCACCACGAACATGTTGAAGGCGGCGCTGCCCACGATGGTGCCGGGGCCCAGCTCGCCCGCCTGGAAGCGGTGCCCGCACACCTCGATGAGCGAGAGCAGGATCTCGGGCGCCGACGAGCCGAGCGCCATCAGCGTCAGGTTGGAGACCGTCTCGTTCCAGATGCGCACGGTGCCCACGCTGGTCTCGCCGTTGGCCTTGGTCACCGTGATCTCCTTCTCGCGCGACGTGATCACCTCGATGGAGGCCATGAAGCGGTCGGCGATGATGGACACGCCCAGGAACAGGTACATCATGGCCACGAAGTAGACGATGGCCCGCGCCGCCTTGTCGCCCGCCGCCGGCTCGTCCGGCTGCCACACGGGCAGGAGGACGCCGGGCTGGCACCGCGCGGAGCCGCGGCACGTCCCGTTGGCGACGGAGCCGTCGGGGGACGCCCCGGAGAGCCGCGGGGCCACCAGGAGCCAGGCGGCCGCCGCCGCGCCCACGGCGGCCATGGCGGGGGCGGAGACGCTGCGGGGAGGAAGGAGGGCAGGGAGGGGTCAGTGGGGCGGGATGGGGGTCAGGATGGATCCAGGGGGTTGGGATGTGGGGTCAGGATGGATCCGTGGGGTCAGGATGGATCCGTGGGGCCCAGGGCAGCCATGGCAGGGGCGGAGA